GTTTGAAAATTGAACAAGTGGCAGATTGCAATTGGATGATCGGCAGGTGGTCGTAAAATTTTGGCAGGCCACTGTATATGTCCTCGATAATTTCTGGGTCGATAGTTATACGTTCTTCTTTCATAAATTCTTCGTATAATGTTTGTACTTGTTCTCGAATAAAGTTTGGGTTTTGAAATGGTGTTCTGACATTGAAAGGTGATGTAGTCAACTCTTTCGAATTCAGATATAAAATACTAAACGGTCCGACGGCAACAACAGAAAAGATAGCAAATGAGCTTTTGTCATTTCTGATGCCACGCAGAGTCTCCAGGCATGATGATGTAACATCTTCGCTTGCTCTATACAATTTATCAAACTCATCGAAAAGGAGAACAACATTGTGCTCCCACTGATCGCGCTGAAACGCTTTGAGAAAACCCTGTGCAGAATCGATTTCTGAAACGGAAATGCCATTCCCATGAGCATTGCGAAGGAGAGCCATACCGAGTGTCCGCCAGAAGGTGTCTATATCCCCCTTGACCTCGACATGCTCAAAAGATGTGCTATTCCATAAAAAAAGAGCACAATCGTGGTCAGCTTGTAAGCCCACATTATACTTATTATTTGAACGACCATACTTACTAAATGCAAACAAATCCTTCATTTCGCAACTGATCTTGAATTGCAAGCACCCGTGTAGACTTCCCCGAGGCTCGTGGCCCGTATAACGCTACAAACTCACCCCGATGAATTAACTCAAGAAGTGGGCCATTCCGTTCTGTTGGGTCCGCATAATAGACTATAGAGCGCTCTTCTCGTGTAATCGCACTATTTACCGTCCACTTCCTTTTTTTCGGTGCAAACGTAACTAGAAAAAAAAAGAGCTAGTGAAGAAACAACGCGTTATTGAGTAATATAGAGCAAGGTTAACTCTGTATAAGCTTACGTTCTCCCTCCGCTTTTCGTTTCCCTCGTTCTGATATCAGTGAGGCATAAGTTAATAAATGAAATTACTGCGGAGAAAGCAGTGTAGGTTGGTTGTAAGTGAACTCAGTCGTAGTGCTTACCTTCTCGCTCGCCCTTTATTTCTTTGATTAGGTCTACAATCGTTTTTGCTGGTCCCATTGTCATTCCGCATCGTTCAAGCTCTTCCGCAGTCAGGTTGAGGAACGCGCGACCAGCGACTTTGTTCTTTTGGACTATATCTATGTCTTCATCGTCAAGGTCAAGCTCGTCTTTTTTGGACCGTAAAAACGTAAGAACCTGAGCTCGCTTCCATCGGCTCACTTCTTCGACCGAAGGGACTGACGGAGAGGACATGTTAAAATTTATGGAGAAATAGATATACATTACAATAAGTAGAATGATTTAGTGTGATATTTATTCTTCCGGAATTTTCGTCAAAAGAAAGATAAAACTCGTAAAAAGGTTTCGGTTGAAGAATTATTGATTGAAACATTGGTTCAGGAATTGAGATTAACAAGTTCCGTCGGACGCCTGAGATTCCATCCGATTTTCAAGAATTTTTGTCATACCTATAAATTTTGAATTGGATATTTATTATTATTAAGAAAAAAAAATTATATTATCTTTATTGGTTCATTGAGTGGGCTAGACTCGATGATTCCGATTGCATTCAAGACAGACAAGACGTACATTTCCTTCAATGTGACCTAATTTATTATCAATTCGATCCACCGTCCATTGATCGGGATTTCCAGCTTCATCCCATTCCCACAACATTTCATTGAGACATAATACGCATTTATTTTTTTGCGAATCTTTTA